TGCGGTCTCTGCTAGTAGCTCGCAGAGTAGGCTCCGTCGATATCCGGTATTAATTTCGGAATAATATAGGCTACCCAATCTCTGGGAATAAGAATAATTCCAGAGAATAATAGGTTGAAAGTTGCGACGAGCGGCCAACGGCCGCGGCAACTCGAACCTCGCGGAAGGGCGAAGTGTGAGGGCCGAGTGGACGCGCGTCATGTTGCGTACAATGATCGTGATGTTTATTTATGTTCTCCTGCTCTGTAGAGTACTGTCATTTTTGAAGCCGAATACTAGGTAAATTTCTGTGAATAATGCGGTAACTTGAAAGAATAATAGGCATGTGGAGTAGAACTCAGAATAGAATATCCGGACAAATTGTGGGAATAATAGTCTCAGGCCTATCGCAGAGAGTCTGACACGGGCTAGCTACAGCAATAGATAGTGTGCGAGAGTCGATACACGCCATTCGTTGTGACTTCGTGTGCCTTCAAGATACACAGAGCAAGTGGACCTGGTCGACTGTGCTGAATGTAAGTGCATGCGCATTTTCCTGAGCAATAAAATGGGCATTAGCCGTACAATGCTGGATGCGCTCTAGCTTTGCAACGGAGCATTCTCAGAGAAAACCGTTCAAATTTTTCACCTTCATTTCCCGTTAGTAGATCGTGTGGGATCAACTACAATATTCGCCACCTCGACGCGTCATACGTGCGCGTAACGCCCGGATGGATGATGATCGGTGCCGGACCTCGTCTAGGGCTAGGGCATCGACAGACTCAACCAATTGATGCCCTAGTCCTAGCCCTAGACGAGGTCCAGCTCCGATCATGATCCATCAAGGAGGCAAGCGTATCATTTCGTGATAGCGAGTCCTTTTTTCTCACACCATTTTCTTCCTCATTCAGGTGTTCACTGCTCTTCTCTCCGTCGCTGCATAAACTGTAAGAACACGTCAAGACCTCATAAAATGGGTCTGAGCAGAGGACCTTTCATGTATATACTGTAGTTCATATCAGCATGTTTACTACCATGTTTATCACAATCCTATTTATGCTCAAGAATCTGTCAATTGCCTGTGCACAGCTTCTATTCTAAGCCACAACCTGCACTGTGTCAGTCTGACACTAAAGGGTGTGGCTATGCCACACTTACGCACTATGGTGACGCCATAACTTTCAACTGGCTGTAAATTCATCAGCAAGCTACCTAACGTGTATTGTCCGTGGTCAATGATAAAATGCTCAAAACAATACTGTGGTTATGTATTGCTTCACTATAATGCACAACAAAACAACAAAAACCACACAATTTACATGCAATAGTGCTAATCTCCAAAGGGTGAAACTCATCGTCAAAAGTCTGCAAGTGACAGTTTGATATGCCCGAATCGCTCGTTACCACTTCCCTCTTTCTCGTCGGCTTTCTCTTTGTCACGGGTGGTGGAGGTCCCCTCTTCCTCGTCGGCTTTCTCTTTGTCACGGGTGGTGGAGGTCCCCTCTTCCTCGTCGGCTTTCTCTTTGTCACGGGTGGTGGAGGTCCCCTCTTCCTCGTCGGCTTTCTCTTTGTCACGGGTGGTGGAGGTCCCCTCTTCCTCGTCGGCTTTCTCTTTGTCACGGGTGGTGGAGGTCCCCTCTTCCTCGTCGGCTTTCTCTTTGTCACGGGTGGTGGAGGTTCCTTCTTTCATTTCTCCCTCACCGAATCTCTCTCCTGGTCCTCTGGCTGTTCGGACGAACTCCCCCAGCACATGACGCGGCTGCCCCCCAGAAGGTTGGGGGGGAAAAGGCTTTATGAGTGAGGAGGTGGAGTCAAGGTCGCTCTCGGTTGAGACCGATGCTCGCAGGACCGGGTCGTGATTTTGGAGAACGTTAACGTTGATTTGTGGTTTTGCGGCTGTGGGTTCTTCATGGTGCAAGGTGTCATCAGGGTCGCCCAGGATGGAGCCGAACGTGGAGAGAATTGGGTTGAGATTAGTGAGAATGGAATCAAGTTCGTCTTCGGTGGCGTGGTGGCCTTTGTCCCGTGACATCTGGATGATGGAGCTGTTTGCAGTGTCTTCAGTTACCGTCTGCTCATTTCCCATTCTTGTTTTCTCATCGTCTCCTTCTTCCACCAGTTCAGTTTCGCTGTCTGGTTGCGGAATGCGAACCCCTGCATCTGTCAGCTCGACATCCTTCCCATTTCCTCCCTCCACTCTACTTCCTTCCATATCCCCCTCTTCCCCTTCCTCCCCTTCCTCACTCTCTTTCCCCTCTCCCCCACCCTCCTCCCTCTCCTCATCTTCCCTCTCCTCATCCTCAGAGTCCTCCGACTCACTCGAATCTGATTCAGAGCTATCTCCTTGGAACGCAATCATATTCAGCATCTCAATCAGGTTCTCTCGACTCAGCAGTCGTCTTGCTGCAAACTGTTCTCTTGGCCAAGAAAACTTCTCCTGCGAAGCTCCTCTGTCTGTCCGTGGGATGGCAGGGGTAGCAGGTGTGCTACTGGACTGAGTCTCGGGGTTAGGCTGAACGAGGGACACAGGAATTACGTACTGATCGTGACTACCTGCCCGTTCATGTCGGCTCTGGCATATGATCTTTGGCATAGATGCAGTTGGTTCGGGTAATTTCACAGCTGTGCCCAGCTTCCTAGTCTGCTTGGTACCTTGGCTAGAGTAAGGAGGCAGGTACATTGAAACATCGCCACCTGGGATTATCTCCCGGACTGTTTTTCCCCATGCTTTGATGACTTGTGGGTCTGTGAAAAATTTCCTCAGGATTACCATGTATTGTGCATGGTGTTTTGGGTCCACAGGAGGCACCCATTTGGGGAGGGCTGACCCAGGGTGCACTTGGTTCAGAAGCTCCTCGTCAATTTTCTCGTAGATGTTGCTGCCAGTGCTGAATGTTTTAGATACACCAACCTTTTTCGTGGGGGAGATGACAGATTCCGAGGGCAATGAAGGTAGAGGACGTACGTGGGAGGCAGAGACTGCATATGGATTGTCCAGCATTGTGAATTGTGCGGTGGGGAAAAGCGGAGGTGAGGAGCTACGAATGGTCGCAGGATCTGGAATGATCGAGTCTGTGCTCTGTCGTGTCCAGCCTTTTATACCCTTCTGTGGCGTAGCTCCGGTGGTCCTCTTTGGTGAGCGTTGGCCACAGGTGGTCTGTTTCGGCGATGCTTCGGTGTTTGAAATCGGATGACGAGGAAAAGTCGAAGACGGAGCCATCCTAATATATTCCTCATAGTCGCTGTTCAGAGTAGAGCTCTTTTTCTTCACGACGGAAGTCTTGGTGGTAGCTGCTTGCTTTGTCGGCATTTCTCCCATTTTGCTGGTCTCGGTTGATGAGTCAGAGTCGTCTGAAATCTCCTCGAAAGGTCCACTGATGATAGAAAGCTTGTCTATTTCGTCTATATCTGTGTAGTGTGACTGCGGCCGGTCTGCTGCACTGCTGCGTTCTGGTGAGAGCGATGCAGAGACGACTGACCTCCGATTCTCGTGGCGAGTGAAGTCGCTTCCACTCTCCACTACCCACGGGTTAGATGCTGTGCGGCGATGACCGAATCTTCTCCGGCTCTCCCCAATAGAAGACTGGAAAACGGAGCTTACTTGGATGGGGAGTTTCCGTCTTTGTGGGTGATCACCGTGGATCGAGTGAGCACTGATGGACTCTGGAATCTTGTGTGTTTGTGGGAGTGTGTGCATCAGCATCTGTACCGCCATTGGTTGGAGGTAGGGCTCGGCATTCAAAACATCCACACTTTCGTTGCTGGGGGCTGCGTTTGGTTTGGGGGTTGATTCGAGTCGACCCATTGAGTTTGAGCGCCGCCTGTCAAGCCCCTGTCGCTGTCCGATGGGTGGGGGAGGAGGGGGAGGAGTCACGTCAAGAAGAGGCTTGGAGCGGCTCATCTCGCTAGCGATGGCATTTCCCGGCTGGAGGACGTATGGGTTTGATCCGTAGTTGCACACAGTGCTATGTCTTGTCGGGACTGGGGAAGGGTGAGGTGAATGAGTTCCCAATACCTCCACCGGCACCGACTGCAACTGATTAACTCGCTCTTCTTTCCCCGAGAGGTCTGGCATAGTGGCAGAGTGTGGCTGGCTTCCTTGGTGGGCGATATCTCTGAGATGTACAGCTGATCCTCCCACGGGGTCAGAGTTGTTGTCTGGAGTGTCACACTGTGAGGGAGAACTACTGCCATTGTCGCTGCTGATACTGGTCTGGTGAGAGAGGACCGAGGATGTGTCCGCCATCCCCGTGGAGTACACGTAGTCATATACTGACTCGTCCCTGAGGGGTAGAAGGGAGGGAAAGTAGTCGACTTGATAGATTGAAGAATGAGAAAGTGGTACTTAAAGGAGAGGAGAAGAGGGTGGGCGTGTTCATGCATGAAGGAATGGAATGTGTATTACACGAAAGTCTACAGCGAACTTCATCTTGACTACTGGTGGAGTGGAATGCGCAGCAACATCACACGTTGGACTCGTGGCAACCCACTCCTATGTAGCTACAAACACAGAATATGCCTCTAACTTTCAAGAAAGTGTTAGACTATGCAGTGCGCAGAGCTTCGTGTGCTAAGTTACTAAGACACCATTATTATCCGCATCCCAGATTCAGAATCAACTAATGGTGAAAAGATCAGTTGAACTACTCCTTATAAGAAAAACCCCACTTCAACTAGGACCTACTGGAATGGTCTGAATAGCTGGTAATGCATGGGTTGATGAAGCTCTATACTGGCACATAGCTATCCCCAGTGGAGGATCTGTACTATACACACACCCTACTTATTGAAAAACAGACAGCAAACTGAAAGCCCTTCACTGCAAAGGCTTTGGAATGACGGAATGAAACCTGAAAATGCATACACACATAATGGTGGACACCACCTTCCCAAGGATGGCTGACCCACTAAGTGTGCTCCTTACTTTGTAATAGCTACTAATACTTAGGGCTTCTTTGTATGTAGCCAGTGGTAATAGCTACTTTTCCCTTCCCACAGGTATACAAACATTGCGTAATATTTTCAACTTTAGAGGATGTCAGGTTTACATTACTTATAGTTGATGTGCTAACTGGGGGTTCTTACTCATGACCAAGCTATTGAGGAAAAATTGCCATCAGGCAAGTTTTGGCGTCCACTAAATTTAGGTTGAAGAACTTCATCATGCCCACTTTGGTGCCAACATATGAGGTCTAACACAGAGAGCTTATAATATAGCTGCAAATTAGAAGCCTTTGCCTATGACTGTTGGCACTACCCTGCTGTGTTGTAAGAATACTCTGTGAAATCCTTCAAACTAAGGCAAATCGGCTTGCTTGGGTAAAGGTACAAGCACACTTTTTGCTGATTATGATTTTGCACACGCTAAAAGTTTTTGGATATGGTCGGATGAGGGTAGAAAATCAATTTAACAAAAGGTGAGCAGAGATATTATTTAGGAATGTCTTTTCTAAACTAGCGAAAAATTATTTTCTATTTACTGTTTTTCCAGTTGGGTGGGCTAGTTATACTCTACACTAGACTAGTGGCAAATATGAACATTGGTAAGGGATTGAGAAAAACACGAAAGTGCAAGTTCCACCTTCTTGCACCTGAGCTATTGTCGGGGAGTGAAACGAGTACACCAACGGTCTGAATTTACATACAAACTCATAGCAGCATTACTACGGACAACTATGTACGTGTTTGCAAGCAAATCTCCAAGGAAAACCTGACATCTATCTATCCTAAGCATATCAGTTGAAATTGGATGGTAACTGCGTCTTTCATGATGCAGGGCTATGATGTTTTTTTAGAGTGCACTTCTGTCAATTGTACAGATGTAGTTTTTATAGCTACCTGTCCAGGTGGTCATGTCAACCACATAGGCTATGTCAACAGCCAGCATGAAACAGCACCCCGTAGTGGATTCTGTGACCTCTAGTTGCCCACTCTGAGCCTCTGGTGTTTTTAATCCCTCTACCTAATATGTGATACACATTAGGTATACTAGGGCCTCCATGCTGCCTCTTACTGTCAGTGTGTAGCTAAATATTTTCTTACCTAAACAGCTGAGACTGGTAGAGCATCAGGTCAGGGTGCCTCTGGATAAAGTCCTCCAGAAACTCTCGCCCCCTGTCCGGGTCTTCGTTGACTCCAACCAGCATCTCAGAGTTCTTCACCTCCAGCAACTTGAACGCAAAAATCCTGCCAGTCTCATATTTGCCGACAGCACTCTTGCAAGCTCGGTACTGCTCCGTTTGCTCCATCTCCTCGATTCGCTCCGAGGATGCCTGGAGCCATTTCGTGGTGAAAGTACTGAAGAGCCGTTTGGTGCTTGTCTTTGCAGCGAGCTCATTCTCTGCAGCCTGCTTGAACGTGGGTATATTGACATATACAATCTTGAGAATTTTTTCGGCGATGATTCGAAAGGTTGCGGCGATGTTGTAGTTGCACATGGAGGAAGTAGTGATTATATCTGCGCCGATTTTTTCCTTTTTCTTCAGCTGGTGGAGCTTGTCTACTGATTTCTGCACCACGCTCTCCATCTTAGTGAGCACCAGCATGTACGTGGCGTCGGCTTTCTTTAGCGTTTTGCAGATGATTTTCGTTCGCTGCAGTTGAGCGTCGAACTCCATTCCGTCCAAACTGACGTCTACGACTACTGCGAAGCCGCGACGCATCTTCCCGGCGTTAGTGGGGTAGTGCTGCGCCTTGTAGGTGTCGGGCAGCGAGATTCCGTCACGCGTCCAGTACGAGATCTTACCCAGCGATTCCAACTTTCCGAGGGCTCGCTTCGTGTAGGTGTCCAGATTGTCTGCCCCACCGCTACCGCCGCTGCAGAAGGGCTTGGACGTGACGTCTTCGTAGAGGACGGTGTTCTCCACGACGTGGATGTCTACGGTGCGTTCTCCCCTCCCGAGTCGGCCGGTAAGGGTCTGGCGACTGCGGCCCCAGTAAAGAAAGTGGACGCTGTTGACGACGGCGCTCTGGAACTCGTGAGAGGCGATGATGGACGGGTGATCCGATATGAAGTCATCGAAGCCTGGGTGAAGGAAGCGGTAGCAGAGACAGCTCTTACCGACGCCCTCTCCGCCGCTCTTGAAGAGGTGACCTTGCTCGCGGCTCAGTCCCACAACGCAAACCATTACCTCCGTCGCCATGACCCCGTCGTGTGGCTCTGCGTGTCAGCGCTAGGGCTTCGGCCTGTGGAATTTGAACTGCTTTCGTCATTCGATACCGATGACGGAGTTCCAGTAAGATTTAGCTCGCCAAGGACGCTTGACTCCACATTTGATTTATCCTCAAGCGACAAAGGTGAGTCTATAGCTACACTATACTCTCCATCATCTGCACCGAATATTGGTGACACGAATGTGAGCAGTTCTTCTGAATCTAGTTCTGGTGAAGAAATATGGGAAGAGAGTGAAAACGAATATTCTTACACTTCGGAGAACCTATAAGCATGCTGGTGAAGAGCATTGTTTCTGGGCTTTCTTTTTTTCGAGTTTTTATCACTTATATATTCTTTCATTTCTCAGAACGTGCTATTGTTGTTGCCCTTAAAACAATGTATACATTCCAGACCAACTTTACATGGATGTTCTAAATGCCTTAAAGTGTTTACTACGCAGAGGTTTGGTTACAAACCTTTGCTTGATGGTTTTGACTGTAGTGCTTGGACACCTCAAACATATTATGACATGCACAAAGCAAAAGCATCTGAATAATTATAAACAAGTACGCACAGCACCTGAATGTAAAACCATAGTGCATCAGTGGGGAGTGAAGTACTTGGAACTTGTTTTACTCCCTCCTTTTGATGTAGTATGCTGCCATATGATTAATCCGATGCACTGTGTATTTTTGTGGCTGGCAAAGCACACAATTCGAACATGGAAAGATGTTGGTGTCCTATAAGACAAACATTTTAGCCTATGACAAGAGAAGGTAGATTGTATTGTACCACCTGATACGTTGATATCGCTTTTTTACCTGTTTGTTGCGCATAGTGGCAGAAAACGTGGTAACAGACAGAGACAGACGGACAGACACACTTACGAACCAAGTACTGTAACCCTCGCTGCGCATGCGTGCCGACGGTTAAAAATTGCCATTGCCAGACATAAAAGCTTCTTATGCTCACAGACATGACACACTGTAGCTAGTTACTATATATATATATTATATGTAATAGCTCCGTGTGCAACGAGTTAGATCCATATTAATTTGATCGCTCCATTCAAGGATATCCAATATCCATAATGCCTCTGTGTTGGAGATGTTGCTAGTGTCAGCTGTAATAAAATACATCGGCTAACAATTTTTATGAATGAAAAGCAAAAGAAAGAAAAAGAAAACAAAATTGGCTCTATATAACAATGATGTCCTGCACCTAGTGCATGGCACTTTTGGATGATATAGATCTCGGAGCTACGTAGGAATAAAGGAATAGTAGGGTTCATCAGCGCCGACTGTCGTGCCATTAGCTCTCTCTTCTCTCACATGGTACGCTACATTTGTAATAACTGTTGGGTGTTGATCCTGTGCCCCTCTCGTTTCCTCATAATAGGCCCTGTTGACGGTCATTGGAAAATAATACGCAGACTCGGTGGAGGCAGTCACTACACTGTACGATTTGTTAGCTGTCAGAGTAATGTCACCTCGTGCCGATTTTCCAGATTGCCCTTCATTCCTGCATGTTATAAACAAGTATTACTCATGTCGATTTTCTGAACCAAACTACTCTGTTAATTCAAAAGAATTGCCTAAAAACTTAATGATTCCCCGCTAGCTAACGACTCTTGTTTGTGGACCGGTCAAGTCTCGTTCCATAGTCCCCTGCGGTGTCCACCTGCCCTCGCATACAATTTTGTATGGTTTCTTGCGGTTTCCGGAGTCCAGATGCGCAGGCTTTTCCGTGAAAACTAAGCTACGCTTGGGGGAGTGCCGGTGAGTCATACGTAGCTGCACAGAGAAATTCACAGGGAACAAACTTTGCTTTCGAGAGTCGGTCAATAGCTCCATTTTGCTTTTTCAAAGGCATTCTGTGCTGCATGGCCGTCCCCTTCTGCGTCGTCGATGTACAGGAACGACGCGCATGCGTGAAGAGTGGTTTGGATGTCTAGCTGGGTAAAGCACTGAGATCTGGCTCTAGAGAGAGAGTTCCGCACCACCTGTGTCCAAGCTGTGTTCAAACTTATTCTCCCTCCACTCTTCTCAACAACACATGCCCCGTTCCAAACTGCTCATTTTCTTTAGGTCCTCAGTCACCATGCGCTCACTATCTGTCAGCTCATACAGATCTTTATATTTCTGTTGCTGTTCTGGTTAATGCCTGCGTTTATTTTTCTGATTCTGTGTTTGTGTATGGTAATTGTTTTAGCAAAGTCACTTCTTCTATTCTCTTACATACTTGTAACTTCCTGTAAGCCCAGCGATTGAATTTGCCGTTTCTGATACCTTGGAAACAGCCTTGGTATATTATACGAGGCTCTGTCGTTCCATAAATAAGCTATATAGGGCTGAGATTACATTAGTGTGAGTATGAAATGGATGCAAAAAGATGACCAACTGTGAAAGGTTGCTGAATTTCATAGATGATTTTGCAAAAATGGAATTGCCAGACATAAAAGCTTCTTATGCTCACAGACCTAGCTATACACATGGCACACTGAAGCTAGTTACTAGCTCTGTGTGCAATGAGCTAGTTAGATATTAATTTGATCACTCCATCCATGGATATCCTAAGTTCCATTAATGCTGTGTTGGAGATGTTGCTAGTGTCAGCTGTAATAAAGTACATTGGCTAACAATTTTTATGAATGAAAAGCAAAAGAAAGAAAAAGAAAAGAAAATTGGCTCTATATAACAATGATGTCCTGCACCTAGTGCATGGCAATTTTGGATCATAATATAGATCTCGGAGCTACGTAGGAATAGTAGGGTTCATCAGTGCCGACTGTGGTGCCATTAGCTCTCTCTCCTCTCAGACAGTACGCTACATTTGTAATAACTGTTGGGTGTTGATCCTGTGCCCCTCTCGTTTCTTCATAATAGGCTCTGTTGAAGGTCATTGGAATATAATACGCAGACTCGGTGGAGGCAGTCACTTCACTGTACGATTTGTTAGCTGTGAGAGTAATGTCACCTGGTGCCGATTTTCCAGATTGCCTTTCATTCCTGCATGTTATATACAAGTATTATCTGTCGCTTTTCTGAACCAAACTACTCTGTTAATTCAAAAAGAGTAGCCTAAAAACTTAATATCCATGCATAAGGCAGGACACATGAGAGGTAGTGTTAGTTAAGAACTCAGAAACTGTCCTACTTTTAACATAATATGCTAACTCTAGTTACAATTTTTTCTTAGTTTTTGATGACTCTTTCTGTGTCTGATGTAAACCACATTGTATCATGTGTGTGCATGAAAAAACATGTTTATAGCATACTAGCTCAGAGGAAAAGAAAGAACCTCCCCCACCCAAGCACACAAAACACAGACAATAACATACCCAAGCGTACAAAAACACAGACAATAACATATAAACAGAAAGAAAGAGGCAGGACCCTGGGTGCCCAGCCTTGAGAACCGGGGCGGTAGGTTGCATGCACACGTTGTTGTAAGGTCACTGGGATGACGTTCAACGTGAGCTCTACCTATATCCACACTACTAAGTTATAGCTACACTCTTGTTTCAACAACCTATGAAGATAGACTATGATTGTCATTCTTCAATAGAACATTGGTGGTGGTATGTTGGTGGACGTTAATATGACAATATCTTATAATATTCAAAATCGGTCCGATACTTTCTAGGACTTCAGCTGGATGATAGGAAACTCCATCATTGAGTTGAGGTCCCCTGATAGTGGGATAGGCTTGACCTTGTGACCTCAGCAAACTGAGGAACTCTGACTCCATCCAGTTTCAGTGTCATGTGGTTAGTGACTCTGCAAATGCTTGTGACGCATTGAAACTGTGATAGAGCAGCTAAGCACTTAATAGACACCCATTGCAGCTTCAGCAGCCAGACATCCTAACCCACTTTCAACAAGTATAATTATAAATATACGAAAAATTACATGTGGTATAAAAAAAACGAGAAGACAGGACAGGGATAACCGAGTGCATGTGACCTATTAAAAATAATGATTGTAACATGTTTCGAACTGGCATTATGCAAGCCCTATAATTGTCACAAAGCATGAGCGTGTTTTTCTTGTGAAAACACTCATTTCACGAGTTGTCTCTCTGACTACATAGCTCGATAGCAATTCCTGCAAGACCAATCAGATTACAGGATTTTGCCACGTCCCGTAAATTGCCCACGGTTTTTTATTTGTCGCGCGGAACGCGGTTGGTTCGCGCTGTCTTTTTGCTGTTTTTTTACTCGAACCAGTTAGGGTGCGCCCGGTTGCCAAAGCCCAGTTACAACAGCTGAGGCGTAGGAAGCAGGGGGGCAGAGGGAGCACATGCCCCAACAGAAATTTTAAAGAGGGGACATTGCCCCCACTAGAGCCGACTTTGAAACTAAAGTGACACACATTCTAGCAATAATGTATATCTTAATACACAAACAGTAGATCTGTGTCTGCCCCCACACTCAAAATCATCTTGCTATGCCTATGAGACAGTGTGACGTTGGCTGAACTCTGAGGGCACCGTGTCACTATTCCCATACTGGCGCCGGCTGTGGGTATAGAGGGCTCTGAGTCAAAGAGACTCTACAGTGACTCTCGGTATCTTTGGCACTGGCGATTCTGGATCTTGTGGTGTACAAGCCACACCCCCGCACAATGTCAGCCTATTACGTTAGGGTTCATTTTTCCTCCAAACAAGCCCTATAATTGTCACAAAGCATGAGCGTGTTTTTCTTGTGAAAACACTCATTTCACGAGTTGTCTCTCTGACTACATAGCTCGGCAGCAATTCCTGCAAGACCAATCAGATTACAGGATTTTGCCACGTCACGTAAAATGCCTACGCTTTTTCGGTTGTCTCGCTGTCTTTTTGCTGCAGTGACTCTCGGTATCTTCTTTGGCACTGGCGATTCTGGATTGTGTGGTGTACAAGCCACACCCCCGCACAATGTCAGCCTATTACGCAATGTTAAGATATTGATAACGTGTGACAAAACAACCCCTCATGACATGTGAAGGCGTGGCTCCGCAAGGCTAGCCGCAGCAAAATCTGATTGCCCACGCAATTTCGATGAATGTACCATGATAGGGGTGTGGCTCCGTCAGATAAACACCGTCGGTCGATCTGCTCCGCTTCATAATTCGACATTGCCATGGACGTAGAGGACCACGAACTGGTGTTTGTTGACGCAGCAAAGAAGAGGCGTTCGGGCATCCGAAAGTGTGGGGATTACTTCGGAGTGTCCGTAGCATGCTTCCTGTTAGTGGCAGCCACCGGTCTGGCGGTGGCCTTGGCTGTTGTTGTTACTCGTCACCAAGCCGGTGAGTCGTGTCCAGTGTCCATGTGTCGGACAGAGAGCTGTATGGGACTGGCACGTGCCGTTGCTGATAACATGGACACCAGCTTTGACCCCTGCACGGACTTCTACAGTTTTTCATGCGGCGGGTGGGTGCAAAAGAACCCCATCCCTGACGGCCGCTCCCGATACTCTCCGTTCGATCAACTGGACCAGCGAAACAAGGAAGCTCTCATTCGCATTCTGGAGGAAAGCAAAGACGACGACATCGAAGCTGTCCAGAAGTTGCGGACTCTGTACCGGCTCTGTGTGAACGAGAGCCAACTGGAGATCCTGGGAGCACAACCACTGAGAGACCTCATTCACTTGACGATAGGCGACTGGCCGCTACTGACTGAATCCGCGAGCAGTGGCTCAGGTGGGTCCTCTGGTAGTGGTTCTTCTGGTTCACCCCTCAACACTGAAGGCTTTCTTCAAGCTAAATTGTACGGAAGCTCAGCGTTTTTCTCTCTGTACGTTTATGTGGATGACAAGAACTCTTCCCGCTACACGATATTCTTGGAACAGAGTGGGTTGACTCTCCCATCTCCAGAGAATTATGATGCCTCTGACGATCTTTACTATGCCTTTATGAACTACACTGTTAAAGTGCTCAGTCTTGTTAATCCCAATATTTCTAAAGAAGTCTACTTGACAGTTGCCGAGAACATTTTTGAGCTTGAGAAAAAGCTAGCCAGTGTGTTTGTGCCAGCGGCTGATTTAAGGGACCCAGAAGCAACATACAACAGCATGACAATTGAGCAATTGTCAAAGACATTCCCTTGTCCATTTGACTGGAATTTCATCCTTAAAAACGCATTCACGCTTGGTGGAGCACCCTCTCCAATGCCCAACGAGCCTGTAATAGTTCGTACTCCCACGTTTTTTAGCAACCTCTCCCAGGTGCTTGCCGAAGTTGACAATCAAACACTTGTAGACTACGTAGTCTGGCAGCTCATTCAGGGCTACGTTCAGTACCTCTCCAAGGACTTCCTGAGTGCCTATCACAACTTTACTCTGGCTGTGTACGGAAGTGGGTCTCATAGTAGGAATGAAACCTGCCTTGCAATGGTCCAGAGTGCAATGGCTATTGCTCTTGCCAGGCCTTACACAGAGTATGTCTTGCCTGGTGGAATGAAGGAGAATGTTGATGACATGATTTCGGCTGTCAAGACGGCTTTCAAGCAGAGAGTAAACAGCAGTACTTGGCTCGATCCATTCACAAAGGAAAAGTGCAATGAGAAAGTCGATGACATATCTCAGCGGGTGGCCTACCCTAGTCTCATCTACCACGATTCATACCTCAATAATCTCTATGAGAACTATACCTATGATAATATATCTGCAGGTCTTCTATTGGCAATGGCAAGTAAAACTTTCCTAGACTACAGCAGAGACCTGGAGAGACTCCACACTGAGGTGGACAAGACGGAGTGGGATATAGCACCAACGGCTGTCAATGCTTACTACAACCCATCCTTCAACCAGTTCACCTTTCTAGAAGGAATCCTTGCCCCTCCCTTTATTAGTTCTGATTGGCCCCGCTATTTTACATACGGGGCATTTGGAACAGTCATCGGTCACGAACTGACACATGGTTTTGACGACCAGGGTCAGCAATATGATGCACAGGGAGACCTTAGAGTGTGGTGGGACAACACCTCCACCACTAAATTTAAAGACCGGAAAAAGTGCTTTGTGGAGCAGTATTCCCGCTACGAGATCTTTGGTCACCGTGTCAATGGAAATCTAACACTCGGGGAAAACCTGGCCGACAATGGTGGTCTCAAGACTAGCTACCAGGCTTACAAGAACACGGTGGCAATGGAAGGGACACAGTCTAATCTCCCTGGTCTCGATTACACCCCCGACCAACTGTTCTTCATTGCCTTTGCTCAGTTGTGGTGCTCCCATTTCACACCAGAGTACATCACCACCTCACTGCTGACCAACCCACACAGCCCAGGTCCTTTTCGTGTGAACGGAACACTGGTCAATAGCCAGGAGTTTGCCGACACTTTCAAGTGTTCAAGGGGCTCACCCATGAACCCAAACGACAAGTGCCTCATGTGGTGAAGAATGCTTGGCATTCAAGTGTTTGCTTAGTATTACCCAAACACTTCCAAGTATACATGTGTAATATTGCTATACAGTGTCAATGTATTGTGGAAGATGGTTGTTCATTTTGTGACTTTGTATGTGTCCAAACAAGTTACTGTCACTTGTGTTACTGCAGGGGCTTAAGTTGCACTCCCACCTACAACTGTTTGTGATATAATATTATATACTACTTTCAGTATCGGCATTGTTGAAGATGACTGTCGATGTGACCATTTTATATATAACTTTAAAATAATGCTATGAAAAGTGAGAACTGTGTCTAGTACGACTCTATATGTGTCCAAGCAGTTGCTGCCGCTTTTGAGCTAGCTATAATATACTAGCTGCAGGAACAGTAGACTAGTGGAGGGCAACAACTCGAACTAATGACAATATACCGCAACCTGTGGCTTTATAACAAGATATGACACCATGGTTTTTGGATATTGCATGATCAAGTATATGCAGCTTGTATGTGGTGTAAATTTGGTATAACTCTGCGGTGCAAGTATTGGGAGAGGATTGCTATTAGATGTGTTGTGATAACGATGGTCGTGGAATGGCCATTGGCTCTTTCATCTATTGACTGACTGTTATCACTTAGGTAGGAAATAGTTATAATATTATATCACTTATTCAGCCACATCTTTTCCCTCATCTATGTAAATCCTGTTTCCTACCCCCACCTAGTATAAATAGCCACTATTTTGTACCGTGGAGAGTCTTATTATCGTTCTAATACACTACTCGGCCAAGATCCTTCTGCGGCACGAGCACTCGGCGTGCACTACAGTTGACATGCACCTTGTAGTATATACACATCTAATTATATACAAATTAATTATATACAGTTATAGTGAGTTTGTGTGATACTAATTTGTGCTTCACTCTCACTCAGCTTCACTGACCCTCTCTTACTTGTAGCCACCAAAGCTTTTTCCGTGATTTCGTTAAGCTCTCTGACTGTTATATAGTCAAGTTTGCCATTTATTGCTCAATGCTCATAATCACTTTATTTCATGCAGCCCACCATTTCATTAGGTGTCTCTATGTTTTGTGATGGATTACAGTTTGCAATCCTTTTTAGCGTGACACCAAGTTTTCCATCTACAGCTATCGCTTTCCTTTGATCACAGCATCTGTACGCACTGTTGTTAATGTCACTGTCCTAATCCATAATATTTATAAGCTGGATTTGCAGTATACAGTGCATTGTGGGTTGAAAAGCACTACAGTGCAAACCCTCGGGCGAACTGCGCATGCGGAATACTGCTAATTGATAGGCTGGGCTATTTGTATGCGTTTGCTCAGCTCGACGAGAGTCTGACACGGGCTAGCTACAGTAGTACATATAGCATGTGGGAGTCGATACTCGTTGTGACTTCCTGAGCCCCAAAAGGTACACAGAGCGAGCGGGTCAGGTGGCGTAAGCCCAGTTACGGCTTTTTCGCTAGTTTTCACGGCATATATCTCTCGAACGCAATCGTTTCAGGAAAATAGTACCGCTGTTATCGCTAATAGGCCGCCTCGTAGCCTGTATTGCCAGTCGAAACAGACCAACCAACTACCGTACCCTCGCTACGCATGCGCGCCGAGGGTTAACTAGACCTCTGGAAGATACCCGCGCGGTGTTGTTAACATTCGCCGGATTACAAATGACGCGCTTCGGCTGGGCCAGAACATTCCGGGACATTATGCTATTTTTCCTCGCCCGGGACACGGCCGGAAGAAACCCCATTTTCCCGGGACGGTTGGCGACTATGCCCCTCGGTTATTCAAAATACGCATGAGCACAGACATTTTCTCCTCCAATCCCTTGTAGCGTTTTGTGTGTTACTCCCCATGCTTCCAGTCCCTAGAAGCTCTTGTGGGATGAAGTAATGCTCTATATACGCTATACGCAGAAGGGGTGTCACCAAAACTGGGCCGGCCGGGCATTGCGCGTTTGCGCGTGCGCTCTAATCGCGCGCCGAAGGCTTGCGGAATCGCCTTTGTCCGTGCACAATACTGGGCAGAGTGCGCGAGTCGCAAGAGCTCTTTCTGCCTGCACCTTCACCGGTGAGTGGATCCATCGTAGCTGGCCGCCATATCTTGCCCGTTCAGTATGGCGCTGTCGGTGCTGGGCTGCCTGCTGCTGGCAAGCGTGCTCAATTTGGCAAGCGGACAGACGTTGCCAGAGAGCGTATTCAAAGTGCTTACGGCCGCGGAACTGAGGGAAATAAATCTCCGACAGAATCCCGGACTTTTAGAATTTGCCGCACGCACTGGTGAGACGGTCAGGGTCGAAATTACGGCATCGTCGCAGGGTGCCATCGTGCAAGAAGCCGTCACAACGATACTTGACTGCGGTCCGTGGCTCAGGAACTTCCCTGGAGGGTCTGTGCGGTGGTTCAGGTATCGATACCTTGATCTGGACCACATCAATTTAGCACTACCGGTATGAGAACAGGTCCCGGAAGTTATTAACTCGTTTACCAACCAGCGTGCTAACATTACGGGGGCCTTCAACGAAATCTACACGATCATCAGGGGTTTGATCGCCGTGGACGCTGAGGACGCTAGTCGAGGCGTGTACGAGTGCCAAGTTTGCATTGGAAGGGACACTGAATTCGAAATTTGTCACAGTGCTAACACGACCGTTGCTAATGCTGGAAGACCGCCAATCATTGACGTCGGCGTGGGAAGAGGTAAAATAATATTGTGTACAGGACAACCTTCTCATATGTGCTTTGTACATATTCACTCTCTGTTAATTAAGTCCTTGTCTCCTTGGCTCTGTTATTAGCCAGTTTCGTGTGCTACTTGTGTGTGATAATAATTAAAAAAATTCGTAGCAAACTCTGTACTAAAATCGATGCATAAAATTTGCTAGAAATTGGGGTATTGTTCTGGCATTTGCACTTTTGGTGGCGAGAAAGGCAGTTAATTTTTCCTTGATAGAAGGCATAGATATATATGTATGCTACAAAGTTGTGATAAGAGTGCATATTATGCTAAACCTACTTTGATAATTGCGAGTAAGAGGTGCTGCATAGAAAACCTGAGCTTTATATACACACAGTTAGTAGGAAATCACAGATGTGGTAATGTTATATATGCTATGCAGCTTACTGGTTTTGTAAATGTGCATGCTCACAAGGAAATGATAATAATATAGTATGTAACTACTGTCAAAGCCTCGTAATCGTTTGTAGTGACACACGGAGTATATAGCTAGGCGTCAAAGTAAACTACACCATTAGACTCTCATGTACGATATCTTGTAGCTCTTGTTTGCGAGAATGGAACAACTGCTTGTTATAAACATACTATTATTGCAATGGGCATGTGAGCGAATGGTGTGAGTTTTAATGTATACCAACTAACTCCTAATAAGCATGAATAATTATGACAAAACTGAATAAGCATTAATTTTTCGAAGCACTTGGGATCGTGTTTGTGTGGTGAAGGACACCCAGGAAATTTGAGCATTTGCACCCCCCCCCCTGTTGGCAGTTCCCAGTTTCCACTTGTAGTATATACTTGTGCATGCACAGTATATATGCAAACCAGATTTCATTTACCAAGTCCCTTATGCTATGATTGTAGTATCTCCATTGCATAAACTCCACACTGCATCTCAATCCCTTTGCCCCCTGAAGCACAGGGCAGGATCAGCCTCTTTTACCTCTCGAATGAAAGTGCAAACCATCAGCTCACTATGCATGCGCGGTATCGCTAATTGATGGGCTCGGCTACCAGATTTACTCATGGTCTCTGGCTAGTACCTCACAGAGAGTCTGACACGGGCTAGCTAGACTAGTGGAGGATAGCATGCGTGGGTCAACACACGCCCTCCTTTGTGCAAGGTAGCTACACAGAGCAAGCAGATCAGGTTGAGGTAAGCCAGTGCGATTACGTACATTTGCTCTTTAGCTTGTTTTTCATGGCATATTATCTCTCGAATGCAAAAGTTTCAGGATAATCGCCATATTATTTTTCAGGCTCGCATATTTCTGAAGTCGTTGGTATCGCTTATAGGATATCGCCTGTAGTTGGAGAAGAGAATAGAAGAAATCATGTATGTTATGTACCTAACCATTTAGAGTGGCAGAGGTTGCCAGCGACTATATGCAAAATGAAGCCATGCAACAGTAGTACATTATATCTTTAAGTCTGTTGTGTTTCATTGCAATTTTGTTTGCTTAGCCTTTGCCTTGTGGCTTTTTGATGATGATGATGATGACTATTATTACATGTGTATGCTAGGTTTGTCATAGTTGGTTAAGTACCTTGGTCTTTGCTACTTACGAGAGTTGACTGTGCCTTACAGCACAGTTACACAGTATTAAGTTTGTTTTTCCCTAGTGTTGTATCAAATTATATATTTGAGCCCGGGCATGCTGACCTGCCCTAGTATATAGCAGCTTGGTAAAGAGCTCATTTCCTATACTGAAGAGTGCAGTAATGGGTTCAAATTCCAAGACCAAGGTTTTGGGTGTAGCCTTGCTGGTTCTTTGCTGTCGACACACTCACCAACCAATACGAAGTGTCACCCACTGGCTACTATTAGTAGTTCTATGCTACCAACGTCAATCCGTGTCCAAACTTTGAAATTTGAACTTCGTGCTTACGATCAAATCACTCCAGAACACTTTGCGTCGAGTGTTTTGAGTGGTTGTTCTAATGATTAGCCATTATTACATCCAGAATGTACAAAATGTGTGACCGTGCACGCAAAAACCAACCTTACACCGCATTTTTGTAAGTAGCTTTTTTTGTATCGTTGTAAAGCTTGAAATGTGCTTGGCAAATTTTTAGCCAACAAGAGAGATGTGGTGTGAGCATGCAGTTTGACAGCAGACGAACGCTTCTATCGGCCCTACCGGGCTGAGTAGACTTCAGGCTTCTCTGTGAGGCGATTCAGGAAGAAGCAACGCTTGACTTCTGTGCGCCACCTTTGCGTCAGCTGCATGTACCGTCGTACCGTGCTGTCACTCTTGTTAGACAGGTCGTTCGATCGTGTTTACCGTGAAAACTCCGGCCCGTGTGTGCTATGGATGCTGGTAAACTAGACAGTTAACAGGCCTGCTTAGCCAGCTACGTGACTGTTGAGCCGTCTGCCGGCTCCCGTCTGCCTTGAGCCGTGCACGCACTAGGCTGCTGTATTTTTTAGGCGGCAGCTTAGATGATCTACTCAGCAACCACTCCAAGGCCTTCAGGAACCTTTGTGCCCGTGTGCGGAGTAAAGGAAAGTGACTGGTAGTCGCTGCATCCCTTGTTGCCTAGTTTCGCGGGGAAAAGGGTGTGTACGAGATTTCCGCACACCCCCGCCGTTAGTGTCCGTGTCCGCTGCTCCGTTCACTGACCACCGCTACAGAGAAATAGCTTCTTTCCTGGCGAGAAGGCGTCTTAGGAGGCAGGAAAGGTACCAGTAGGTAGCTCTGACGGGAAACTTTACTTATGGGGGAATTAAGTGGTTTTGCTTATACCGGTCTGTGTAGGCGTTATATTCACGTGTACTCGATAATTTTACATTGCGGCGTAAGGTTGGTTTTTGCGTGCACGGTCACATATATTAATTTCATCTTGCACTTTATTCTACTTCATTGTTTGCATTCTCAACCACGAGGATTCACATTTTTCCACTGCCTTTAGCCACGTTGCTCAGCTGTTTTGCACCATCCATTGCAACAAACCACCATTTTTCATGCTTTGGTGTGGTACTTCTGGATTTGCCAGCTATCTTTCACTATGAAAGCGAACCTCTCGAAATGAAGAGGGATATAGGAATGGCGCGAATAACCAAAAAGGAAGAAACAAGGGATTATTACACAGCAAAGATGCACAAAGTTACATGACCCTTTGATTCTTCCTTCTTGGTGCTTCACACCATCCCTATATCCCTGCATTTAATTTTTCACCTTTTTTCCACTATTTTAATGAACTGTTATGACAACAGTTATTACAATCACTCTGATGTTCATGGGTATGTTGTATAGAGGTTGACCATGGACAAACGCTAACTTTTGAAAGCAGTAGGTAATTGACTGCTGGTGCATGAAGCATTGGGTAGACACTATTGTTCTCATTCAAGGAGGTAATTAGGTTATGACACATGGTGATGGTTTCATGGTCAAGTTTTAGTAATCACACTTCAATGTCAGCTACAACCTGGTGCACAAAGAATGGAGGCCTCACGTAACGAAGTTGCTCCTCATAGAAATCAACAGCAAAATGCAGGTTAGCTATAGTTGGAGGAAATGTGTAGAATTACAGAAGGCACTGGAGACTGGATGTTCCACATGTCTGTAAACCCCGGCCTCTGGTGCATGTGGCTCACTGATGCTGAGTTAGCAGCAAATGACGTTGTTCAGTGTCTACCGTGAAGATGACCACAATCTACCGTAGTTAACCCTTGGCGCGCATGTGTAGAGAGGGTTACAGTACTTATTTCGTAAGTGTGTCTGTCCCTCCGTCTGTCTGTCTGTCTGTTATCATGTTTTCTGCGGCTACGCGCAATAAAACAACAAAACAGCGATACCAACGGGTTCATCGCTACACTTGCTTCATTATAAAACATGCAATTTTCTTATAACTACTGCATTCAAACGTTATGGCATGAAAAGCAAGTGCAATATGCAAATTTGCACAGGCTTACTTCAAGCGGGTCCGCTTGCTCTGTGAATCTTGAAGGCACAAGAAGTCACAACGAAGTACGTGTATCGACTCCCGCATGCTCTCTACGACTGTAGCTAGTCCATGTCAGACTCTCCGTGAGCTACTAGCAGGAGACCACAAGAGTAAACACACACTAATAACCCAGCCCATCAATTAATTGTACCGCGCTACTCAGTTCGCCGAGGGTTTGCACTTTAGTGCTTTTCATGACTTGAGGCAAGAGAGAAACAATCGCTTGATGTCCGTGCACACCTCTGGGGAATCTGGAGACTTTTAGTGAAAAGAACCGCACTTCAACTTGTTCCAGTAAGCAGATACGAGGTTTACTGAAGAAGATGAAGAATAATGATGACACAAAACCGTGAAATCACGTGAGAGCGAATTCACACATGGAAGACTGAAGGTGAGAATAAAGTCTTTGGGTACATGTATAGCTAGATACGGGTCCTTACCGAATCATTCTCGCCAAGTTTAGACAGGTTACGCGGATCACGTGAGATTTGACCTGTGCAATCTCTATATAGAGTGTATACTGATGCTCCAATACTTGCCTGTCTATGTATACGTTCAGCCCAGGGGAGATGTGGTCTGGATCAGTTTGAGTGAAAACTTTCAGACAAGCTAGGGTGGGGCCTGTAATATTAGGGCAAGAAAGTAAGTACAAAAGTATTGAGAATACACAGTGTCCACGTGTGAAGAATTGCAAGTGGCCCTTCAGATTCTGCTTTTGTTATGGAATACACAACTAGCAAAGCTACACACATACAGTAATACAGCAAGGTCTAGCGAAGGAAGCAACATTACCTTGTCGTCTGGCACAATTGTTTTCAATCATTACAGTAGAAAGGGATGTGGGAGTATACAAGTAAATAAAAACTTCTTCGAATAAAAAAGTGTGGAATATAGGGATGTCATACAAAGTAAGGAGACAAGACAGGGATGACCTAGTGAGCATTATGCAGTAGTACAATGTATGATGGCTACATACTTTGAACTGACATCGCTTGCTCGTGTAAAATTTCCTCCATACAAGCCCTTTATTGTCGCAAAGTACGAGTGTGCTCCCTTGTATGATGCACATCTATGAATAAGCACATTAGACAGAAAATACCATCTACTCAGTTTTCAGTTGTGACTGCATTGTGTGACGACTAAAACTTCTTCATTCTCACCAGTTTTTCAATGCTGTGTTCTTGGCCATCTACATACAGAATCCTTTCACCATTGTCCTCGCACTTCACTTGTCCTCGCACTTCACTAAACAAAATAGTAAAGGTGGCGACAATTATAGGGCTTGTGTGGAGGGAATTTTACCCGAGCAAGTGATGGCAGTTCAAAGTATGTAGCCAGCATCCATTGTATATACTACGTACTGCATCATGTTCACTAGGTCATTGTCTCCTTACTTTTAAGGCATCCCTATATTCCACACTTTTTTAATTCGAAGAATTTTTTTGTTTACTTGTTTCCTTTTCTTTTTTACTGCATTCACATGCATGGTGTGCATATAAAAAGGGGATGCCCATAAAAAAGTAACATTAGTGGCCTTAAGCTATCGCCTCAGACGTTTTGCGTCATTCACATTACATTAGTGCACAAAGTTTCATTATGAGAGGACCCATCATAAGCAAGTTATAGGCAGTGACACCTATTTAAGAGTATTTTGCCTGAAGCTGTTTGTTGTTGTTTATAACCTTGTATTTTCTGTTTCGGTGAACTCTTGAATCAGTGTACAAAGTTTCATTGTTAGAGGACTAACCACAATAGTTTATAGGCACAAACACCATTTACAAGTTTTTATTGGCTGGGGCTGTTTGTTGTTGTTTTCAACCTTGTAATTTCTGTTTTTCGATGAACTCTTACCATGGTACATCAGTGTACCAAGTTTCATTGTTAGAGCACCAACCATAAGCAAGTTAGAGGCACAAACTCCATTCTTAATTTTTGGTGCTTCCAGCCATCCCTACATCTGATTTTTCCACTTGTAATAATTATATATAGTGCCACATTCCCTAAAGCAGTACATGTGAAACTGCTTATATTCCCCACTTGGTCATTTGCTCATTGCATAATTAGTTGCAATTCTCCAGTGTCTGTGTGGTATTGAAATGCTTTCAGTAAGTATCATTATGTTATCAACATCTGCTCTTTTTCACTTTTACGTAGTTCCTCTTGAGGGTACGAATAACCTTCCTTTGGTGACGTACAACATTGGGTCAACCATTTGTCTTATAATAGACCCAGTTGATCCCAGCAGAAATCGCCCAATCCAACTTGCAAGGCTCCGCTGTGCAGACGTCGGAGAAGTCAGTGAAGAAAATATACCAAACGCTCTGCCTGCAGCAGTCGTTACGTGGGAGCATACTGACCTTGAAGGCACTTCAGCCTTTTTTGCAATAAACAGGCCCCCTGACGAAATAGATGATGTCGCATACACCCCTCCTGATGAATTCTCTACGGCATTCCCAGGCCTTGTTGGACTAGGTTCACCTTTCACAGTTTCAACTGACACTGGAATGGGTGCTAGTGGTGTTGACTTTTCTCTCAGTAATATCACAAAGAACTTCAGTAACTTAGAGTACCTGGACCTGAGAATGGCATTTGGAACATGGACGTGCACACTTAACAACTCTCTTGGATCACAAACAGAAGAAACCTTCATCAGTGACTGGTGTAAGTGTACCTTTGCTATTACGTAATAATATGTTATGGATATTTTATCATATTATATAACAGGTGGTGATGCGATTCCATCGATTATTCGTAATTGTGCTGGTATCGGCCAGTTTATTCCTGCTGGTGGTGTTTATCTGCTTGACCTCAAATCGACTGTTCCTGTTAGAGCAGGCTGTGATGTGTGTTTGCCTTCCGGATCTTCCCTGGCCCTAACACTTACCTGCCCCACTAACATCGAACGTTTTCCAGAAGATACACTTACAGGATACCGATGGACGGATGGTGCTGGTAATCTCCTGAGTGAAGCCTCGTTTCTGACAGTAACGAAAACAGGGACGTACACTTGCACTGCTATGTTTGGGGACACTGGAAGCGACAGTGCAACTTCATCCGTCAACTGTAAGTCTATTGTGTTGTGTGAGTGGTTTTCGCTCACATGTATGTATTTGTGTTTCAATAGTTGCACCAGATGTCGACATAAAAGCAGTACGATCTAGAGACTCTATCCCATTTGACACCCTTGGCTGTGAAAGGTATTTGAGTAGTGACTTTTATATTAATAATATATTCGGTCCACATGTGAACTCGGATCTGTATTAGAGCCTCTACCGCTCTACAGGTATGGCACAGGTGAAATCTCACGTGATCAGCGTACATAACGCCTAAAAACTGGTTGAGAATGACTCCCTAGGCCTTAAAAACACACTAGCAATAGTCTATGGGCCCTTATTTACCTATACATGTTCCAAAATACCTCATACGCCCCTTCAGTCGTCCACGCGAGAATTCGCTCATATGCGATTTCACGATTTTCGTGTCATCGTCATATTCTTAATCTTCTTCTATAAACCAGCTATCTCCTTACCGGTACCAGTTGAAGCACATGTGCCAGGCTGGGGTGTTGTCCAATGTGCTGTGCGCGCGTTATTTCCAGGCGTGTTGACAGACCATTTGCACGAGGAGCAACTTGGCAGAGTCTGCATAGTGTTACACGAGCCTTGCAGGGTGCTCAAATGGGCACTCATTGTTCACAGCTCAGCAAGGCTAGCGGCAGGCCTGGTCACTTAACCCTTTGGGCGCCATAGGTGTCTCCTTAAATAAGCAGAAATTGATGTATAAGATATTAGCGCCTAGTATTATAGCCATAATATATAAATTCTTATGCACTTATGGAGGCTCTGTGCATATATATATGTAAATTGCGCCCAAAGGGTTAAATAGCTTGTCCGCCTAGGGTGTCGCAAATAAAGGGGACCAGCATAGTAAAAAGAAGCTTCCTTACCCCGTCGTAGCAGTCGTTTGTTCTTGACCTTCTGGGGTGTTCTGACCACATCAGGAGTGTAGCACTGAGCTTCGGAGAGAGGCAACCCTCTACGCCTAGAACTGGCTTTGTTCCTACGTTTCAATCGCCTATGGTACCATGAATCATTTAAAGCACTTGGAAATTGAAAACTGTGCTGTAACACATACTGTGTTATAATTATGGGTGAAAGTGTTCATATTCTAAGAAAAAACACTCGCAGTGCATACACGCACAAGTGTATGTGACTCTTGACCTAGTCATCATTTCCATTGTGAACAAGCCTAGGTTGTGTATATACCTACACTACATTGTCACGTTACCCGTTTCTTATGCAGGTTGAGATATATGGATGCAGAGGTTGAATCAGGCGATGTTTGTGCATTTTTTGACACACAAAGTGGAATTAATGAAGGAGAAGATGTAACCATCACTTGTGAGGCAGGCCAAGAAAATGTTACAGCTGTTCCAAGCATAATAGTAAGAATTTATGTATAGATTCTCTGGTATATTGTATTGAAAATGTAATAGCCTTAAAAGAAGAAGTAGGGATTTTAGTCAGAATGATTTGCAAGGCCTTCAAAAAACACCAGCAATAGTTGACGGGCCCATAAGATAAACCAGAAGACTTTATACGTGCCTTTAGTTCTCCACACCGGAAGTCGCTCATATAATATACTATCGTTTCTTATTCTTTTTTCTTCAGTCAACCGCTATCTCCTTACCGGAACAAGTTGAAGCACTGATTTTCCACTAAAATGTCTCCAGATTAGACTTAGGTGTGCACGACCACGAAGCGATCGTTCTTTTTTCGTCGCACGTCACTACTGTAGATGTAGCCCTTCCATGGTAGACTCAGAACGACACCGTTATATCTTTGTTGTATTGATTCATAAGCAAAAAATATCAAACAAAGATATAGGGATGGAGTCATGTAGCTTTGTGTATCTTTGCTGTGTAACATTTCTCTTTTTTTGGTGCTTTGAGCTGTCCCTATATTCTCCTTGATTTCGAAGAAATGATTTTTCCACTTACATTATTATTGCTGTTCTGACAACTAGGTTACCTTACTCCTCCTTGCCAAATATTTACCATTAACATAAAAAGAGTAATGTTCAACTTAGCTAGCTACTACCCAGTCTTCAAAAAAGAAAATACAGGAGTTAATAACTAGTCAAGGTTATCTGCAATTTTTAAACAAACTGAGGTTGAGGCAATTATACGAGGACTTTGTGTCGTTTCCAGCCTACAAGATTCCTAACCTCCGAAATTCACAGAAGTACATATGGACCACTATTAATTTTACACTCTATATGTGCATTCTAGTCATTTAGACACAGGATTAGGCCGACTATTTGAAATTCAGGGATTTCCGATATTTGATGGTACAATTCGAGCAAGTAGAGTTGTTGATGGAACTAGGGTGGCTTGTGGTGTGACTAATGCTCCAGATGGCATTGACCAAGATTGTGCTGCAGCTGTGGGACTTACTGTCCATACCTATGGTATGTTAGCATAAAAAAACCAATTGTACAAAGACACTAGCAACATGTTTGATATCAGAGTGTCAGTAGACAGACACTCTGGTGTCTCTCTCTGACATTGCTCACTATGTACTTTATCCTTCACATAAGCCCTATATTTTGAATGAGCATGTGTGTGCTCCTTCATGATGCCGTATTTTGAGACAAAGGTGTTGCCCTCTCCTTGGTTTTGAGTTGTGACTGCATTGTGTGACTTCCATGTTTCCCCAACTATAATGCTGCTTTCCTGGCCCTTTACAGAATCCCTTCACTATTATCCTCACACTTTACGCCATAAAACTTCATGTTCACAAAATAGGGCTTATGTGGAGAAAAAGTACACGAGCGAGCAATGTCAGCTCGAAATAATATTATGTCTGCAATAATACTGAATCACATACACTAGCTCATCCCTTTCTTGCCTTCTTGCTTTTTTATACTATCACTATTCTCACTGATTTTTATGTATGACATAAATATGCAATAGGTATATGTATACTAGATAGAGCAAGAGACCAGAGGGTATGTAGCGCCTGAGGACGAGTGTTATATCGTAGTATACATACCGTATTTGGGCATGGTTTAGGTAATTTGTGTCACCAAAAAAGCAATTGGGTCCTGCCCTGCTCAATTTGGCACCAATATCCGCTCACGCCCTGTCCCATAATCTGCTCATGCCCATTCACTAAAACCGTTTACAGCCACCAGGTTGAGCGCAGAAAGAGCCGAGCGTCGGGGACTGCTATCGCGATCGTTCTCCCTCTGCCATCCTATCGAATGGATGATGGACTGGAACCCCAATGACCCGTTTGATGTGATCCTGTCTCTAAAGCGAAAGGATAGCGCTGCCATTTCGAAAGCCCTCAAAAAGCAGTAGCTATGTACTAACAGTGTAGCTTCCGCCCCGAAAATAGTAGATATAATTATACCAACAGCGCTTTCGCCCCGAAAATACCCAGGTTAACACACGCCGGGCAGTGTATACTGGCAGTTGGTTTTTTCGCATATAAATCACGGCTAGCAGGTACTTTATAAATATAAAGTGGGTGCCGGCACTATTGATCCGCCCACACAAGGTGGCACGATAATATATTTTATTTACTTGTCTCCCTTCTTTTCTTTCTGCATGCACATGATTGGCATGGAATAAAAGGAGATGTTATTGAGCATAATACCTATAAAAAAGTAGCATTTAGTGGCTTCATGTAATTTTTCCTCAAGACTTAATTTTCATTCCCCTGTTTCTTTCTCGATACTACATCAGTGTCCCAGGATTAAATTTTGGAGGGCCAAGTAACAGGCTATGGGCACTAACAAAATATATTTACAGTTTTTTGCCTGAGGCAGTTTATTGTTGTTGACAAACTTGTTATGTTTGATGAACAGCAATCATGGTATGTCAGTATACAAAGTTTCATTGTTACAGGACCGAATTTCAAGTTATATACATTAGCATAATCAACCCTCGGCGTGCATGCGCAGCAAGGGTTACAGTAGTTGGTTTGTCCGTGTGTGTGTTGACGCTTATTCTGGCACTACAGGCTACGAGGTGGCCCATTAGCGATACCAGCGGCTTCAGTACTACATGAGCCTGAAAAATACAAGGGCAATTTTCTTGAAATGATTGCATTCGAGAGCGGCAAACTGGCACAGTCGCGGACCGCATTGCGTGGCCCAACCCATCAATAAGCGGTGCGCATGTGTATACTAGACGCGATCAATGCGTGATGCTGGCTCACCTCGATCTGATCCGCTTTCTCTGTGTACCTTGGAGGAACAAGAAGCCACCGCGAAGGCGCGTGTATCGACTCCCGCATGCTATCTAATACCGTAGCTAGCCCGTGTCAGACTCTCCGCGGGCTACTAGCCGGAGACTGCGGGTAAAAGCTAATAGCCGGCCTAGCCCATCCATTTAGCGGCACCGCGCATGTGTAGTTCGCCGAGGGTTTGCACTTTAGTGCTTTTCATTAATACATTTTTATTGCCTGAGGAAGTTTGTTGTTATATACAAATGTTTTTTGATGATCATAGAACATCAGTGCACCAAGTTTTTTAGATGACCCAGCATAAGAAAGTTATCGGTACAAAAACAATTTACAAGTTTGCATTGACTGAGGTAGTTTTATATCTTAGTTTTGATAACCTATGATTACCTCAGTGTACCAAGTTTCATAGTTGTAGTACCCAGCATAACGAAATTTATTACAAGTTTTTATTGCCTCAGACGGTTTTTATTCTTACCATGGTACATCATTGTATCATGTTTTATTGTTATAGGCCTTGCACCTCTCATAAGCAAATACTGTTTATATTGCCTCGGGCTGTTTGTTGTTATTTACAAACATGTGTATAATATTTGACATTTTGATACTAATGATGAGTTGCACCTGTATCATTCTAAGTATTTGCAATGACTAGTTATCGGTCTATATTACTATGTATTGTCTTGGGCTATATTTTGGTTTTTTGTTGTTTACTTGTACACGAAATGGTTTATAATATGCTCTTGCATGACCTGTCAATTTGTTTTTGCAGAGCCTGCAAGAATCGTCCGAGGAATGGCTGATATCTGTGATGGTCGATCTGCAGGTTTCAGCCAAACCGCTTACTTTCTTCCAAACCCAACTATTGTGAGCGTTTGCTGTGAGGTGTTAGGGTACCCTGATCCAGAGGTAGAGTGGTATCGTCTCAGAACTGGTCCAGGAGGAATCACTTTTGAGGACCCAATAGGAAATGGAACTACTGACTACAATGTTGATACTGCGTAAGTTTGTGGGTACACAATAATTTGCTGTAGTATTCTCTCCAGAAATCACAAAATCCAGCAATGCATGGCTAATTAATAATGATTATTTTAGTGACACATTCAAAAATAAACACTCAAACACTGTCTGCAGTTCCAATCATGTATATATATTTTGTGACCTTATGTGACACGTTCACCTGGGGAATTAAAGGCACGTCCTAGTACAGGCAACACCCAAATGCTGTACCTCTTAAACTAAAGAGGTTTTATACATCAAACAACAACAAGTGTTTAAAAGAGGCATTACCCACAACCATAAATAACACCACGTGATCCGTAATGGATGTGTAATTTTATATCTTGTCTAAACTTGCAACGGTAAGAAACTAGGCGTGCTGAGAGCATTATGCCGGTTTTAAAAAGCAGCAAAGTCATTATTTTTTTAATGGGAGCTTACGAAACCGTTCTTTATGATAGAGAACATTCTAAGGGCTATGCTAACGGAGAAGCAAACAGACCCATGCAGAGTCAGGGTGTTCCTACTCTTGTAGGTGAAAAGTATCTTCCTTACGAAGGTAAAGGTACAGCTCCTTCATTGCCCAATAGTTACTGTTGCTGCTTTTTAGTTCCTCTGTGCAGCACAACTCCTCTGTCTGGGACATGTAGTTATATAGAGGTCAAAGTGAGAGGAATTTTTGAGCATGCGTAGTGCAGATATCATTCATGTTGCAAAGTTTTTTCCCAACCGGCAGCAGAACTAACCAACGAATAAGCATAACACCTTTAGTACTCACTCTGTCCATCTTTCAGGGCCAAATCCCTTGATACAGAAACTCAACAGTATATACCCTAAATAAGAATCCACGCAGTACTGCGTAATGTGGATATGCATAATGTACGTCGCATAATATGAAGTGCACACAATAATGTTAACGGGCCGGAGTCAGTACAGGTCATCCCATGGAATATAATCTGCCATTTGTCATATTATAATAAGGTCTATGTTGCAAGAACAATGCTCTTTTAAAAATCCGTCTCAACAACTTGTACATAACGAAGGTTGGATAGAAAACACATTATGGTGCTTGCATGCTAGCGCTATATACAACTGAAACACTTGGGGGGGGGGTTATGCATATGCCCCTCCCCATTTGTATACTTTACTGCATTGCTGGTCTCTCGTTCTCTTTGTAATGCAGAACATACACCCTTACAATACCAAACTATGATGCAGCAAGGGATGACGGTACATATGTGTGCCGAGCACAAAACATTGCTGGCATTGATGTTGCAACTGCTGCACTGACAACTAGTAAGTTTCCCCACAATACTTGCATTATAGAGATATGTAAATTGTATGAAATCACAGATACATATCATATCCAGAGTGTAGTGTATGTGCTGGTAGTCAATAAAATAAATCATCAGTTATTACGCATTAGGGCACGATGACTTCAGTATAACACACACCTGACTATTGTCGTGCAGAAGCTAGTTAGCTGAAACGGGTATGAGCCAATCTATTACTGTTTTTGCCGCTCCCTTAAGAATTACTTACAGGGGTGGTCACATAAAAAATACATGGTGCCAAGGTATAGCCACTATTGGTACCAGAACGTTTTTTGGTGCCAAAGTGGAAAGTGAAATTTACAAACTGATGAACACAAAATGCCATTTACAAAAGTTTATGAAATGGAAAATCTTCCACTGGTCGTTTCTCAAGTCCAACAGTCATACAAGCATTAAGGGTTGTGTCCGTCATAGCAGTACGAAGTTCATTTTTTACGTGGTTCATTACACTGAATCCACGCTCGCACTCACATGTATCAGATGTTATCGCCATTAGTAGTAAAGCCAACTTTGCTATATCTTTATACTCTGGGAAGTTCTGGTATAGATCAGACCAGAAGCCCACCACATTTTCTGTAACTTCTCCACCTGAGCATGGTTCCTTGTACTTCTCCTCGTAGAGGTAATGAAGCAAGTCGTCCTTTCTGTAGGAATGGTAGCCTCGTTTGACAGCGTTGAAGTCGAAGTAATTGTTATCAAACCGCTCAACAGCTGCTTGCATATCAATTATTTGGTGCTTTCTAGGGCACTGGAAGCTGCATGTACTGAGAATAATAGCAGCTTCTGGAAATTGTTGGTGCAGGCTTTTCGCAACCTGCACAATGTAGGCTTGGCAACTCTTCAACACCTGTTTTTGCCCAAGGATGGTTAAATCTCCATTATCCTGAATTTGCTTCCAATATTCTTTAAATTCACGCCCCATGAATTTGAGTTCTCCTTCATTTCCATAAGTGTCAGGATCAACTGCAATTTGATTGCTAGCAGAGAGTTTTTCCTCAACAGGAAGTATGGTATCTTTAACAACTGGTTCAAGTGAAGTAGCTGAAACAGTACTAAACTTATAGATCAATGAATTTCTCTGTTGGCACTGGATATATATCTATCTGGCTCAACAGAGGAAGGTAGACTTTCAAAAAAATTACAAAATAGGAGGATCATAGGGTTCTGCAACCTTTCCTTCAGATCAGTGCTCTTTCTTCTAACAGCGGCACAATTCCTGTATCATGTGCTTCTTTTTAAAAGAAGGTGCATAATATTATTGGATAAAGCTGTACCAATTGTTCCACACACTCATTGAGTGAAAGCCATCTTATTTTGTGATAAGAAACTAATTTTACGTATTTCTCCTCCGTGAGCTCAACAATTGCTTTAAGTTGCCTTTGAGAAACTGCTGAGTACTTAAAGTGATTGAGAATATCTTTTATCAGAGCCTCTACTTCATTAGGAATGTGTTGCTGCCCATCTTTTCCAGCTAATACTAGTCTATGATTGAAGCAATGTTGAACCAAGAGCTTTGGATTGAACTCAGCTATTGCTTTTGCAGCAACACCCCGCAAAGTCGACAGCAATGTGGCAGCACCATCTGATGTCTGACATACTATCTGTGAAAGAGGAAGGGCATAGCCAGTGGGTCCAAAAACGTTACGCACAGTTAAAAATATATTAGCAGCATCAGGGTGTCCCTCCAGAGGTGCAACAGCTAAGAACCTTGTCACAATTTCACCTTTACTTATGTCAATGAAACGAGCATACAAAATACCTTCTTCAGTAACACTCTTGTCTGTCAACAACTAAAAGACAACTATTTGTTTATTCTGCATCTGTTTGAAAACAGTAGAATCAGGATCCGCTGCTTTTGCAAACTCAACATAATGCTCACAACCAGAGAGAGGCTTCTTGTTTTTACCAATAATGTAAGCAAGCTTATAAGAAGCAAGTGCTAGCTTTCGCTGTGGATCTAAGATGCTTTGTAGTTGGCCTTGCTGCTTTCGTTTCTTCGTTTCATATTTCATAATAAGAAGCTTCTTCTTGCCTGTTGGGCATTTGCTGATATTCAAATCTTGATGATAATGTTTGTTGATGGTGCTTTCTTTGTTGTATCAACCTTGAAACTGTCAAGGTGCTTATGGCACAATATACAATTTCTAGCGGGGTCAAAGTCCATTAGTCACTCCTGTCTCCACTTTTTTGCTTGCACTTATGTGGTCTTGCTACACGTGGCTGAGATTGAGACGAAGTCCTAAACAAAAAAAACCCGAATCATCGTCTAGTACAAATATAGCTACGTCCAGAGTTGCGCGGGCACTTAGGATTGAGTCTGATCGGAGTCGCTCACATGCTCACCTGCACCAGAGTCAAGTCCGAGCCTTTTGAAGATGAAGACACGATACGAGGGGCTTTGCATTACAGGACGTCTCCTGTGTCTCAATGAAGCTGTCAATTGTAGCCTGTGCATGAGACTGAGCCATTGCTACAACTCGCGTACGCAGAAAATTGTGCGCATGCGCAATTGCCGCGCGCCCGCTTCGCTCCGCGCCTGTCGCCAATGTAACCACTTCCATTCGCCAAACCTGCAGGTGTGTCGCCACTTTTGGCACCAGGGCAACAAATGCACACCCCTGTATTTAAGTGCATGACATATCGTAACAAGGTGCCATAGACATAGCAGTTAACTATCAGGGCACGGGAACATGTAAAAAATTGAGTGGGTACTTCAGTACTGAGCATGGAGAAATACTGATTATGCATGTGCAGACTTGACTGCACACCTGGTACTCAGCCTACTCAAATGTTAGAGAAATCTCTGTCACATGATGATATAGACATTTATGTGCCAGAGTGACATACCTCCACAAATCATATCAAAGTATATTGCTCTAACGATTTTTCCACCCTGTGCCCACTGATTTTTATGTGGCACTTGTCCTCAGTGCCCCCAGTTGCTTCGCCTATGTCTGGACAACTTCTTTCATATCTGTGATCACTTTCTTACTGATCACTTCCTCTAGGAGCGTGCTTAGTGTTGAGTGTGTTGATAATACGATGGTAAGTATAGATAGGTGCGCGAATGAGTGAATGAGTAAATGACAGTTGTTACATATCCATGCACAACAGGCTGCCACTAAATGTGTATTCTGAGCTCTCTTTTCAAAGTGAAGTAGTGAGACAGGGATGGTAAAAGAAAAGAAACATATTAGCTCGTCGATCACAAAACAAAAATTTTTCTCAGACAGTATTAGATATCCAGACAATACCTTTTTACTTCACCATTGTTAGCTACCAGTTATACACAGTACTAGAGGAAAACTAATGGCACAACGGCACAACGATCGGTCGCCATCAGAACCACCATCAGTCAGAGTATGAACCCCTATGCTCGTACCGTGCTTTTTCTGAATTTCACAATACTATGGAGACTCCGACAGAAATGCAGTACAGCGTTAGCTGTGCCGGAACACTCGATTGTACGTACAATGAATCATCCACCCATCTTCAACTACCCCGCATGCGCTTGTCGCACAGTGGGCAAAATCCAAGCAGATGGCATCAACTAACGATTTACGGAAACATCTCTATCTCAGTTCCACCATGTTTAGAGGCAACAGAGACAAATTTAGATGTACTTACGGTATCTAACATGCCCAGTCTTTGTAGTTTGTCGTAGATATACAAGATATTGCTGCCTGATAATTAGATGGTGTCCGATAACAAGCTAGCTTGGTCGATAAGCTACGAAAAGGAAGTTCCATGTTCCACTCCATCACACTGTCTTACTCTAGGACTTTGTGCAAGTGGAAAAATAATTTCTTCAAAATGAAGAGGGATTTGGGATGGCTCATAACATGAAAGAATAAGAAACAAGGGGTCATTACACAGCTAAGACACACAACGCTACATGAAATCATCACCATATCTTTGTTTCATTTTATGAATCAATAGGACAAATATATAGGGATGGTGTCATGTAGCGTTGTGTGCCTTAGCTGTGTAATGACCCCTTGTTTCTTACTTTCATGTTTTGAGCCATCCTTATATCCCTCTTCATTGATTTTTCCCACTTGTTTCATGAAAATCACTAACAAACAGAAGTATTCAAACACATGGGCTCTTGTCTAGCAATGCATGCTGCGGGTCTCCTCCCCAAGCAAACAATTTGGTTGTTTCGTGGAGCCAGCTCGGTTCGCACTAGCGATATAGGCCGCACGACGCTGCACGCGAGTGTTCGTGTACGCCTTAGGAAACACTCCCTGGAAACAACCCTCTGAACTGCTGACTGCTGGGTTATAGTAACAAATGGCGTCGGTTCAGTGTCACTCTGGAAGAGCTCTGTCACGCGACAACAAAAAACAATCGCTTGATGTCTGTGCACACCTCCGACGAATCTGGTTCAATGAATAAATCAGCACTTCAACTTGTTCCGGTAAGGAGAGAGCGGGTTTATAGAAGAAGATGAAATTATGATGACACGAAAATTGCAAAATCGTGTATGACAAATGTTGAATCTCTCCATTTTGTTGTAATCATTCTCTTGAGCATTATGTGCGATGTGCATAGATTCAAGGGTATGTCATCACATGGTCTAATATCTTCATGTGATTTTTAAACAAAAATTCATAGAGTTTGTTTACTGTCCCATTAGAGAATGAATCAGTTACTGATGATTATTGAATGTTTTTTACAGCTGAAACAACCTACCGATGGGGAGTTGGAGAGTGGTGCGAGGTAGGTATGTTTGAGTCTTTATTTTTACACACTTCCATAATATTGTTCATCAACCTTCCACTTCTACCTCTGTGCTCACTTTTACCTATCTGACACAGTGTGAGCCACTCTGCTCCAATGGAACTCGTTCTCGGAAAGTATGGTGTGAGACTTTTCCTGAGCGTATTGTGGTTGGAGAGACCTTCTGCGACTGTGTACAAAAGCCAGACGAATCAGAGTCTTGTTTGAATGTCCCAGGTCTTTACTCCTGCAGCAATCTCATACCACTCTGGAAGACTGGTAACTTCTCAAAGGTGAGTAAAAACGTACAATGATCAGTATACGAAACTGGGCGGAATGCTGTCAGCTGTTATGATGGGAGCTTTTTTCAAACTCACACAGTGTTCCAAGGGATGTGCTGGTGGAGTGAGGTATCGTCAGGTGTACTGTGCTATACCTCTTAATGGTACCAGAGTTCATGACTATCGATGTGTCGAAAATATATGGGCCGCTACAAACACCACCTTCTTACGACATCTGCTTTAACAGATGTAAGCAAACAAGTAATGATGTTCAGGATTACGAAACAATACGAGCCTGTGTATCTTCCCGTTATTCATCTGAATGACAACACAAAGTGTGTAACCATTTGGCTAGTAGTTTTTGCCCAACTTTTGTGCCTCAGAGAGATGCCTTCTTTTACCGCTTACCCACATAGTCAAAGGTCATTAACACAAGAAGAGTTTTTAAACAGCGTCGGTGAGAAAAGTTCATTTCATCCAAGGCAGCAGAATACAGTACCAATAATATGTATACTGTTCATTTTAGGATAGTTGACACATAATAATTTGCAACTGGTGCTTTCTAGTCTCCCACACTGTTATATCATGTAGACCCATACTCTCAATGATTCATGATACAATCACTGACAGGTTGTGTCACCGACAATTATCCAGAGTACTGTCGCTACACTGGACTTGGCCCATGTTCTAACCCAATTTACCAGCAGCACTGTTGCTGGACATGCGGACTCTCTCATCAAGGATGAAATTGAAGGGGAATAGTAATTCATGATGCCGTACATAGCCTGTTTTTGACTACTAAGAGTCTAATACTGTTCACAACGTGCATGCAGGAACATATTTTGTCCTCACATGTTGCAAGCGTAAACATTTTACGTTACTCTGTGAGGTCTTGTGAATGTTTATCATTGTAGTACAAAAAAATTGTCTTGTCAAGTCCTTTATCATGTCATTTGAAATAATATCTCACTGTCAGAAAGCACTAACATAATCTTAGGGGGCAAAAATAAAAACACAGCATTCCGTATAGTTTTGACTGTTTACCATCTGTGAATTTTTGTGGTCATGTTACTAAGTCAACAATGGCATTCCGACCTGCCTGGCATCTTGACTTGAAAAGGCCCTGACCAGTAACCTGAATGCAACTTGGAGTAAAAAATCGCCGGTGCATTAATTTTCACTCTTCAATCTAGGTTTATCACTGGAAGAACCTACTCTTACAAGTACCTTGGTGTCAACATTTCTTCTGACTTTTCTTGAAGTTAACACATCCTTTACAGTTTACAGTTATACTAAAGGAGAGTTAGCTAGTCTTCAACACTAATTGGGTCACTCCTGGAGTATATATGCTTGCCAGGTACAAAGCCTCCAACTAAACTTTACGGTCATCCGCGCACATAATTATAACAAATTCCCCCCCCGCTTGTCGTTATACTTGCCACGCCTTCTCGAGCGCGCTTCTCCTCCGTATTCTTCGATTTTTGCCCGTAAATTGTGTTCGAATTACGCAAAATTACGGATAAATCCAGGCTCTGCAGGTATAGTGCCCACACCGAGAACGTATGGTGTATAATTTGCTTTCCGCGGTTTAGAAGACTATCTACTGGTGGATTGATCGATTCAGAGCAAATTAGACCCCCTGCATTCAGATTTGGGGACTGTTTTTACCGTAAACGCGCCTCTTTCCAAGTAAGTGGTGTCAATATAGTATAGCGTATGTAGCGGGGGGAGACTATTGCTGTTACAGCTATCTACACATGCACGAGATAACGTAGTATACGCTAAGATGCAAAGGAATTTATAACATCACAGTACTAGCTCCGGATCGTCATTGAAGCAAACTGCTATTTTCAGGCAGGATGTATAGTCGAGTAAAGAACGTAGGTTTGAACCCAAAGTCGTATTTCTCTGCTGCGCTTTCTTTAGTCAAAATATGTTCTTGCAGGCGTCTTTTATAACACGTTCACGTGACAGCATATTATTCCGCTCAGTCATCCACGCCACACATCTTTGCGACTGCATGGACTGAGTGTCAGTGAGAGCAAGGTTAAAGAACTGAAGCGTAACAAAAAGCATGAGAAAGTGGATGAAATAAGCATGGAGCCTTTTTTTTGATGGCAATGTTGCTGTAAAGATTGTCTCACCATTCCTCCCAAGTCAGCCACATCTAGTACCTTTGTTGTTGACACACTAGCTCTTACAAACAAAAAAACTAGCTGTGGAACTTGCTTCCACAGCTACGATTTAGAAGTTGCCAACAGACGAGCTTACTGCAAAATGAGTAAATTGAGTGTGAATCAAAAAGTTGAGGCGGGGAGATGATGCTATTGCAAGGTTAAAAGAGCAGATTTAAGCACATAGGTCAAAAAACTACCACATTCATCATCTCTTGTACGTATGTGGCTGAAATGAAAGGCTTAGCCTGCCAGCAGTTAGCTGAAGAAATACGCAATGAACAGTGTGTTACCCTTCATAGTAATGGTGAGTACATCGAAGTATGGACAGCATTACTATTCCTTTCAGATTTACTTGTGATAGTGCATATTCTCTAGGCTTAACTGAAATGCTAGCTGGTTTAACTTTCAAGCAGATCCTCTCTGATTTGGAACTTGTTGCTGGGCCAAAGTCAGGGAGTATTTTATTATCGAAGAAAAAAACAATGCCTGACCGTCACATAGTATATAGGGAAAAATTCAATGCGCTCCTCGAAGATTACCACCGCGATATTCTTCCCACTGTTATAGAATCTTTGGAGATGATGACACCAGATGAGCAAAAAGGCATCAGCACACTGAACAATTTTTTATGTGGCATGCATGTTCTTGTGGGCATGGCTAATTCAGCTTCCTCCGCGTTGCTTAGATGGGAAATTGCTCATTTTGATGGGGCTGCTGACACAGCATCTTGTGTCATCAGAAGAAAGAATGAGTCAGGGATAGTGCGTTCAGTGCAAACAGCTTGTAAGGCACTATCAAAGCATGGGAGTGAACAAAGTGGTGTTTATCAATCTTTCATTTCTTACAAATGGTATTAAGAGAAAACTCTTTTGCACAATTCCGAGGAAATCGATTTAACATATTATTTTATGATGCTGGGGTGCTGTACTATCTATCTGACATTGTGATGTCATTTTTTCGAAGCGTCTGGCAAACTTCTAACCAATTGCTTAGAGCTGTTTTCCATGACATTTGTGTACCAGAGTACGTAGCAGGATGCAGAGCATTAGGCATTATCAACAAGGTTGTTACTAGTCCACTTTGGCGAGTTTTGGAGGCTGCTGATATTTCATTTTTAGAAATGAATGGTTACTACCAAACTCTCGTTGCAAGCATGCACAAGTGGTCACAGGATGCAAGTATTTTACTGCATGGTGAAGCTGTATTCTTTCCTGATTTCCCTCCTGTTGAAGATGCTGTCTGGCACAGCTTAATAATTCCTTCAAGCTCAGATGCCCATAACTCTAGAGATTCTTCAGATTATCCGTCATACATTCTCAAGTCTTGTGAGCTTTTCAAGGTCTTGTAAATAAAAGTGTAAAGGTGAAGGCTCTAAAAGCACAGATCAATTTTAGATGACGGAGCAGACCCACTCAACAAAAGATCTGTTCGTTTCTCAAGAATCAAGAAGCCACTTCTATATGAAAGAGCTGATATCACAACCTTCACAATTGCTCCAGAGTCAGAAGAATCTGCAGATAACTAGGACCCATAATTCAAGCACATTGTCCCTTGGCAAAAGGAACAGACACAGGTGGCGCAATGAGACGGAACAGAACAGTGGTATAAAATGGAAGATTTAAAGTGCTGTGGCGGGTTCTGCAGAATGGTTTTAATGCTGCATAATATGATGGGGAAATGGATGTACTGACTCTGAACCTTTATGAAGATATAGGAATAGGATCTTGACCATTGTATCGTAACTCATAACACACCCATTTTGTGACGCCATAGGTATCTGCTTAAATAAGCAGAAATAATGTGTAAGGTATCAGTGCCCTGTATGATAACATTATCCCATAAAATTCTTATGGACTTATGGAGGCTCTGGACACATGTGTCCGTGCTGGTTAGTGTTAAATATTGGTGGGATGGTACTTCTTTTAGTCATAACTTTGGTTTCAGCTGACTGATATGAATATCATATTTTTACCAGTAGAATCTTTTTTAAGTAGAATTTTTTTTAACATTGCATTTGTAAGGTTCAGTTTTTAAAAAAATAATAATTAAAAGAAAAAAAAAATAAAAAAAAAAAAAAAAAAAAAACTAATTAATTCCGGAAAATCCCTACTATAAGGCGTTTAACTCGTCTTCCCCTGGTTAGAGTCCGTACCGGGGCTAGCGCACGTAGATGAGATAGCATGCGTGAGTCATATACACGCCACGCTCGTTGGACTTATTGTGCCTCAGGATACAACAGAGCGATCGGAAGGTTGTAGAGAAGGCGGCGTGATGACATGCAGTCTCGTGACGTGAAGTGGCCGCGCAACCGGCAGAAGAATTGCGATGGCATAAAAACAGCGGGGCCGTATGAACGGAACCGCCCCATAGGGAAGCACCTGTCTCATTTAAGTCACTGATTGGTTGTGGACTTTGTGTGATTTGAAGCAGAGAGAGCATCTCTTGCAAGCCTCTTACAAGTCTGGCGTAAAAAGTATGCCCATACAAACACACTCACTGTGACGTGGATGCTGCATCGGATAATACTGGCTGCTGTTTCCTGTGTAGGGAAGTCATTAATGGGGAATACGAAGCTGTCGTGCTCATACATGCTCTCGAACAGGGAGGCGCACACGAGTTTGCCGGGGGTGTGAAAACGCATAGATGGTCCTGTAATTACACTGGAAGAAGAGAGTAAATAGCCCTGTGTGTTGTTACAAAACACATGTGGACATCATGGAATGCGGTAGCTAGAAGCAATGCGTACCTCTTTTCCCTTTGCGCTATAGTACCAAACCAGTAGTTATTAACCCTCGGCGCGCATGCGCAGACGAGGGTTACGTAGTTTTGTCCCGTAAGTGTGTTCTGTCATCTGTCAGTCTGTCAGTTCGTCAGTCTGCCAGTCTGTCTGTTACCCACGTTTTCTGCCACCGCGCGCGCACGAAATCAGGTAAATCGCGATATGATCGGGTTGAGTGCTACACTGGGTTGATTTTAAAAAGGCGATTTTCGTAAAACTACTGTGTTCTAAAGTTATGGCGTGAAAACCAAGTGAACAAGCCAATATGTAAATTAGCACAGGTTTACCTCGGCCGCGTCCGTTCGCTCTGTGTGTCTTGAAGGCACAACAAGTCACAACGAAGGGCATGTATCGACTCCCGCATGCTATTTACTACTGTAGCTAGCCCGCGCCAGACTCTCCGCGAGCTACTAGCGGGAGATCACGAGTAAATGCATACTAATAAGCCCAGCGGGATACCACGAGTAAAGGCATAAAAAGCCCAGCGCCTCAATTAGTGGTACCGCACTGGTTTTGATGTTTCACAGACAGCTCGAAGCTCATCAATTTCGGATAGCAGACTTCTCGCATTGTAGTAAATAACATAAATGTTATCTTACTTGAATTTACGTTTACATGCGGTATGGTCCCAATTGGCCTCACTTGTCTAAAAAAGGAGAAGATACAAAAGGAAGTGTGAGGTTGTTGAGAGTCACTAACACAGGTATTTTGCTCATGGGGAATAGGTGAATGACCAGTGGACTCTGTGGCAGGAACATGCGAATGTGGGGTGTAACTAGCCTCTAAAGAGCTCTTAGGGTTCGTGCTAGAGCTAGGCTTAAAACATTTGATTGCTCCAACTTCCACCCAGTTTGGAGATTTATCTGCCCCTATACATCATCTAGAGCAACCATAGCATGCTCAGATGCATGAATAACAAACCACCACCTCTTGACCACCCCAGTATGATAACAAATGGTTTTACGTTTAACCCAAATGCTGTCTACAGGACAAAAACTCCTTCAATAAAGTGGGAGTGGTTAATTTCATGGTACCCCAAACTCGACGAGCTCCTTGAACACGAATCCTCTCAGTTGGTGACTCTTTCTGCAATGAGTTGTCCTTACTGCACACATCCCTATTCCCAGTACCACCATTACTCTCCCCAAGTACAGCTGCTCGATTGCTATCCCTCTCCCTACTCCATACCCTGCCACCCCTCCTGGCCTCCCACCTGCTCCCCTTCCCCTACCTTCTCTTCCCCTACCACCACGAGTACCACTCTTGACATGCTCAAATTGCCATCAGATTGAGAATCGTTGGAGTTTTGAAAGCAATTACATTTCTTACTCATCTCGTCCAGTGACTCACGAAGTTCAGACACTTCTAGTCGCAAACTGCTGATTGTCTCCCTCAGATTCACGATCTCTGCATTACAGGTTGACTGAAAACAGCCTACACAGTGGAAGGGCACAGAGGAGTGGAGCTCAGAGAGTGAAAGTGAAGAATGGAAACTCCAGCGCAGTATCTATGAAACCACCGCTGGCAAAGCCCTTCGCAAAACAAGGCTTGGTCTTTCCCGTCTATAATCTTCTGCTCACACACAGCACACTTCACATGTTGATTATCGGTATAATAGTCGCTACAGCACCGGTGCTGGACGTTCCATAAGTATATAGTTCTTGGATCAGGTGAAGCAGCACTTTTCTTACCAGCAGTGGGCATCGTTAGGACATTTGTGGTCATTTGGTTTTCATGTGGGTATGGTGTTTTCATTTGTGGTCATTTGGTTTTCATTTGAGTATGGTGTTTTCATATGGATATGGTGTTTTCATTTGGGAAAATACCATACCCAAATAAAAACACCATACCCAAATGAAAGACTATATACGAAAATGAAAAGACGGCACACCCTAATTGAGCGACTGCACCACTGTTTAATTTTGACACTGATCTCCCCCCATAGACTACTGTATAACCCTTGCTGCGCATGTGCGCCGAGGGTTCTCGCACGTGCATGGTCTTGCAAATCAGACCTCCCTCTTCGGGTGAGGGTCTAGTTTGCGAGACTAATTCCCGAGAGAGCGCAAAGAACAGAAGCGGCATGCAGAGAGAGCATCGGACCCTGTTATAACATAATTATGCCAGCACACTCATTGGCGAGGGAAGCAAATGTGGGATTTTGGGCGATGTCGCCGTTGTATATACCTCCTTCAAGGGGTGGTCACTCCTGTAGGCACTGTAGTTAGAGCTACGACTGGGGTCACAATCGGGTCAAAAGGACTCGGGTGATTTTTTTGTTCACGGGTCACGTGGTCACAGCGGTTTTAATTTATGGCCTGGTTCGTGCGGTTTTGTGAACGTCATTGGGCGAGGTTCAGTTTAGGGACATCCCCAGGGGGTTTACCTATACCTGCAGTCATCTATAAAAACGTTGCGCCTGGCAGATTTCTCATTAAGCTGCGAAATGGGAGACGAATTGGAGGTAGTGATCGACGCGACCACCTATTCTCTAGTGGTTCCTCCGCGCAGCGACACCGAACTAGTGGTCGCAGAGCGCAAGAAGTTGCTCGGTCATATTGACCTGAAGACGCTCGTGGAAGACCTGAGTCGTGTCGGGAAGTGTATCCGCGTCGCATCGAACGGCGTAACAGCAGCCGGACCGAAATTCACGGAACTACAGATCGAGATACAAGACCTCGGCTACGACGTGACGAAGCTGTGCGACAAGTCCGCTATCACGGTCTCCAGTTCCACCAACGTGCCTGTGCCCGATCATTACCGACCTGCAGCGACGTACGAGTACTTGCTCGACAACTTGGAAGATGTCGCCCTTGATACGCTAGCGTCCGTTTCGAAATTAGCTGGGCAGATGGGCCGAAGCAGCCAAAGAGCTCCAAGAAGCGTTGACAATCAGGCTAATAAAGTGCGTAAGTGGCCAAAAAGACGCAGATGTCGCAGGGCAACAAGCACAACTTGTCCCGACCAAACAGAAAGAAGAGGAGCAACTGAAGAGAAACGAAGCTCCAGGATGACGTCCGTCAAGGATGCCCGACGGGCGGAACTCGACGCAGAGCGGGCAGTCCGGGAGTACGAAATGAAGGAAGATGAGGCATTGAGGCACTCGGTGACGACGGAGTATTCTGGTGCGCCTTATCAACGTTTAACCTCGAGCTACTTGGTGCACGTTTTAGGGGTGACGGAAGGGGAGGGAGAAGAAAGTGAGCACTGGAAAAAGAAGAAAATTTGAAGCTCTTCAAAAACGCCAGGAGACTGAGACTCTAAGAGCACTTCAGCAGCTTGCCGAGTTTGCCATCAATATTAAGCGCGTGTAGTGGAGAAAAGAGAGCTGAAACTGGCCTATCAGCACTCCATCAGTGAATGGGCGGCCTTACAACTTAGCTGTCTTATGAGCAGCGTCATCACTCTTCTGGGAATCAAAGTAGGCAGCCAGCTGCAAGGCCGCTGGGGGAAGCATGAAGTAGTGAAAATGGTTGAAAAAGAGATGGGGAATGGATCCAGATAGAGACGTCGCAGATCTGGACCTCAAATGGGTCAAATACAAGCTTCTGTCACTGTTTCTCTCGCTACGCCGTGTTGGGTTGCTTGACCATGGTGTCTGCTGAGGGACGTCTATGCTTCACCATACAGACACACAAAGAGATCTTGACCGGTAGCTCCACCGAAATCCAACGTATGACAGCAGAAGGCCGAGCAAAATATCGAAGTTTGCTTGCTGAGAGTTTAAGAACGATTTTGCACTTAGCCAAGAGAGCTCTGGGAGAGCGAGATATGAGAGAGATGCTGAAATCAAGAGCTTAGATGGAGTGAGACAAGCCGTAGAGTGATTAGCCACAGACTGAGCCGAGAACTGTTGAGAACTTAGCTGTGAGTGGTACTGTAATTGATTGTGTGGCGGCAGATAAATAATGGCAGTATTGTTGTAGCAGCAAAATGCAGTTATATACAGTTTGTTGATTTTTTTTTGTTTTTTTTTTTTTTTTTATTTTTTTTTTATTTTTTTTTTTTTTTTTTTTTTTTTTTTTTTTTTTTTTTTTGTTGTTTTTACTAATTTTAGGAGGGAATGAAGAAGGAGAGGGATGTGCGAAAGCAGACGGACCAAAAGAAAAAAGAGAGTAAGGGGACGGAAAGGGGGAGAAGTCTGACCCATTTTTTTTCGGCGAAGTGGCCATGAACGGGGACGGCAATTGTTATTGGTGTTCAAGATGATCTAGAGCCTTGGAAAATTTTTTCTCTGGAAGCTAAAATTATTTGTGCGTGTCTGGAGAGAGTAGGCGAAGAACTAAAGAGACAGGTTACATATTGGCGCTTCGCTCCAAGGTCTGGGGTTTGGAAGATGCGAATGTTTTTTGTTTTTTTTCTTTGTCTTTATAAAATTTTGTTTGGACAGAAAAAGGTTTTAGGTTGGTTTTTCTGCTGAAGGGTGAATTATTATGTTTGTTTTATTTTTTTTTGTTTAACTATTCAAGTAGTATTTATTGTGTTTTATTTTGCTGTGGGGAAGATGCTTTTATTTGTGTGGCCGGATAGGAACGGTTATAATTTATTAAATAGCATAACTTTTTTTGTTTTATGCGAATTATTGGTTTTCAATAGAGATGTTTTTATTTTTTTTTTGTGTTCCCATATTGGAGAAGGAGTACAAAGGTTTGTTGTGTGTGTGTGATTGTTTTGAATTAGTCGTAAAGGGGAAAGTTTTTCTACATATTTAGTTTTTTTTTTAGAATCCGCAAAACATTTACCCGGGGTGAGAAAACGGGAAAGGGTAATTTTTAATACCCATGTTTTATTTTTTATAATTCTTTAGTTATTTTTATTGATTTTTTTTTCCGCCTTAGAAGGCAATTTTATTTTGTTTCCGTACCGACCACGACAGCGTTTGAGGGTCAGCAGAGGAGTTTTTATTGGCTTTTGTATTTGTTATTTTTTTATTTGTGTTCCTCCCCGCTTTTCCACGCTCTTTGGATATATTATGGCTGTTTACTGAATTTTTAATTGTTTTGTTCTGAACGGAACCATTTTTTTTATTTTTTTTTTTTTTTGATCCACGATTTATTGGTTTTATGTTTTTTTTAACATTTGTGAGTTTTTTTTAGGAAACGGAGGGCAAAACACTAGACGAGGGGTTTTTTGTTGTTAGCAACAGTGAGGAGTGTTTTTCTTAATTTTTGGGTTAAAACGCCTTATGGGGTGTTTTTTTTATTTGTAATTTGGTTTTTTTATTTGTTTATGTGTCTATGGTTTCATTTGAGGAGTAAACATAGACCTGGCGTGCGCCAAAGCTTTTTTTAGATTGGATGCACATATGTTTTCCCGAAAGTGTTTGTCGCCTTTTTGTAAGGGCCGTATTTTTAGTATTTTTTTAAGCGCTAGATCGGTATGTATTTTTTTTTTATGTGTATTTAAAACTTTTTTATAGGTGTTTTTTTTAAATAATTTTTTTTTGGATGTCCATACGAGAATTTTATCTGTTCGAGCAAGTGTGTGATTTTGGTTTTTAATCTCTTTATTCGTTTTTTATTTTGGTGGAGGTAGGGTGCGCCAGATTTTTTTTGTGATTTACTTGATTCATGGTTTTGTTCTTGTGTTCCCTCTGTGGGATTTATGTCGCGGGTCCATGGCTATTTTTTTAAAAGACGGAGGAACAGTTGGTTTATCTCTAAAGAAGGCATTTATTTTATTTTTTTGTTGTCCAGCCCTTGTGTTTTTTTTCCTGCATCCGTCTCCCTCTCGGGCATTCTGGTGACGAAGCGAGGTGTTTAAAAATTTTTGGTTTAACCTAAGGTAGTGTTAAGAATCACAGAAGACATAGGAACATGGTTGAGTCCATAAAT